GTAGTATAAAAAAAGTAATTAGTAATTATTGAATATATTTGTATTGCAGTTATGTATAAAGAAAATTAAAATTTAGTATTTAATATATTCGATACTCGATTGATAAATTATTTGAAATCATTCTATAATAATGTTTAGCGAAGACGGCAGAGGTTGCACTCCAACCTGCTGTCTTCCGAATTGTATCTGGACTAAAGCCCGATCTAAAATCCTTGGAAGTGGCTGCATGTCTTGTGCCATGCGCAGTAAACAACGTTGTCAATCCCGCAGCTTCCCAACGCACTCTTTACCCATCTGCTCAGAGTTTGTGAGGATACCTCTCGATGAGGTTTCCAATACGAGATGAATAATGCTTGTTGACTTTGACATAGATGCCTGGTTATATTCTAACAGCACTCGCAGGACATATTTGCAGCCTATCTGGGAAAAAAGGTAACGAAAGTACTGGCTGAACCGAACCTACGCGTGACCATGTGAGGTTTTAATTAAATGCGGAATTTTTGTATTGAAACCTGATTCCAATAAGGTAATATTATGTATGTTTATTTTTGAAAATGTCTGTACTCTGTGGGCCGTGACTAGCCCCAACAAAGTTATTAATATTTTACTAATTCTGTCCAAATCTAGATTATCGTTGTGAAACCAATCAGCTAATAACGCTTGATCTATGTTCCAAGTAAGATTGTATTTAGGTAATGTAGGCCGCAAACGAAAGATTCCCTTAAAGTACCTTTGAATAAAATCATTATTTGTAATGTCTCGGCCGAGTAATAATAATAAGGCAGATCAGCAACTGTTTAATGTGCCATATTGAGCACCAGTGTTAAGGACACGGATCATAAATCCAAGGACATTGGACACTGACGCGCTGTAAGAATCTATGGAGCTTTCTTGAGTGTATTGTCAGAGAGGGACGTTAGCATTATTGGAATAGATGACTGCGGGGCTCCTCTTCGGAGCAGCGACGTCCGGACAATTTCCCGGCAACCAGCGTAATTCGTCAGTACAACACGCTTGCTACAAGAAGTAATTATCAAATCACTATGTGAATGTAGGTGCAAAGGCTTAGATATAAGAAGATTCTTGAAAAGAGGAAACCAAGGCTGGGTGGGTCATTGTGGCACAACAACAATTCCGGTGGCTCCGTCATTAATAATTTTACGTAAGGTTTTTAAAATAATTGATATTGGTGGAAACGCGTAAAAGAAAAGTGTAGTTCACGATAAGGTAAATACATTAATTGCATAGGCATCTGGCTCTCTATGCCACGAGACATATAATTCACATTTACGGTTAATTCTGCTTGTGAATAAATCTATTTCAGCGTTACCGACGTGGTAACTTATTTTTGCGTAAGCCTCTTGAGAAAGTTCCCATTCAATATCGGGATGTGATTTCTTGATTCAGTATCCGCAACTACATTATCGGAGGGGCGGGTGTAGTCTGCATGCACCATCACTTCACACCATTGCCATAATTTTTGTGTAATGGTAGTTAAATAAGGGAACTGCACACCACCCATTCTATTAGTATACGAAATTGCAGTCGTATTGCCGACACGCAATAGTATTTGACAGTTTTGAGAGTTTTGTGCAAAAACTTTAAGTCCCAAGAAGACGGCAAGTATCTCGATATAATTTATATGTAGAGAGCGTTCATGTTCGTCCCATGGACAGCTGGCAGTATAGTCACCATAGGCGGCGCCCCAAGGAATATTTATCACTTTTTATTTTACATACTGAGCAATCAATAGCATTTAACCACCATTTAAATGCAGCGGACAATGTGTCTGGAATTGTCATTAATTTGTCGTAATTATTAAGATTTAAAAATTTACATCTTTCGAAATCTTTCGTGTAAAGCCAACTGTATTTTATGGCCAGCCAGGCAGATGTGAGCAACCCTAAAAAACGAGCAAAGTCTCAAATTTTACATAGCTAATTTTTATAAATTTTAATACATCTTTTTTAACTATTTCTTTTTTGTCATCAGGTAATCTAACCTCTAATTTTTTTAAATCTATTATGTTTACTAAAAACTTACAAGTGTTCCCAGGTACTAATATACTTTTTTCTGTATTAATGATGGACCCCAAAGACTCTCAATTAACATTTGGTATCATTCATTATTTGATAGACCAATTAGAAATAAATCGTCTAAATAAAAGGTGATAAAAGGTGAATAAGTATCCCTTGGACCTCAAGGTTTTGCAACAGACTTGAGAATTTTTGTAAACACATAAGGGGCTGTATTTAGGCCATACGGTAAGACGTTAAATTCGAAAAGATTACCATTCCATTTAAATCGTAAATATTTCTTAGAATTCGGATGCATGTTAATCAGAAAGTGCGTAATAATCTTTCAAATCTATTGTGCACATGGAGCAATCTTTTGATATAAGCTTTAACACTGTCCTTAAGTCTTCAAGTTTAAAATGTTCTGTATTTATAAACTTATTTAGTTGTTTTAAGTTAAGTACAAAACGTTGTTTACCGTTTGGCTTAGGGACAACAAAAAAAACTAGAAATGTATTGGCCTTCACATGGTCAACCATTTGATATATATATAGGGAAATAGCTCCTATAGTTAAAAGATCTTCTATATATTACATAAAGGCATCCTGTTTGGAGTCTGAGCACTTAGGTCCTGCAGGAACAATTGTTTGAACAACAGGACACGAAAAATTAATTTCATTACTAAGAATCCACGACAGGATGACTGGATTATTTGTGATCATAGACCACTGCTCGTAAAAATGAGAAAGACGACCAGCAAGTTTTACCGTGTTTAACGCCTCTGACGTGTGTGCGGATGACGCGATAATGTCTTGGAGACGCTGTGTTGCCATGTCGTCGTCTATGTCGGAGTCGGAGCTCGCTGTGCGGCCCGAGTGATCCTTGGGCCCCCCGGCGCAGGCGCGGTTTGAGGCTCGCGGGGGCCGTTCTGGAGTTTAAAGACCTGATGGGTGGCTTTCCAGGCTTCTGAGCAACAGTACCCTTAAATGTAGTAGCTGATCTTATATCTACTCCGGACTTCTAATAATATTTGCTGACTTTAATTTAATGTTTCCGCCAAATTCTTACCAAAAAGCATTTCATGTATTTTAGTTTTCCCTGATTTTTTTCTCTATCTGATCAATTCCTTTTTACAGTTAATAGAATAAAAAACCGTCGTAAAATCGAGTCCGTGTGTTGTATATGCCCTATAATGTACGAGCGGTGTCCATCAACAGTTTCAAAAGCTCGTTTGGGTTTGGAGGGTTTTTATAATCTGAACAAAGAAATGTCGTGATTATTGCACCGACAGATGACAAGGCGCACGAGGTCAGTACTTGTTTATTTTCAATTCCCTTGTCACGTTTTGCTCGACTTTCTATTAGGGATGCTCGAATTTCAGGATTGAGCATTGGTGTTTTAATAAGCCTGCAATTCGCCGGAATCAGATACTTTACTTTTAAGTCCTTTCCTATTTCTTTAGAAAGACCGGAAGTAGCGATGTGGTTCAGACGGATCGCAAGATCATTCTGAATGTCACTGCCGTACTCTTTAGTAGAGGTAGGATCTTCGCCAAGTAATTCCAATAGTTCTCGATCCAGCTCAGGCTTTGCTGAGGAATGTTTGTATGATTCAGTTCACTTGACTGTGAAGTGGGTACTTGGGGTGTGACAGATGTGAAGGAACATCGAGGCTGACGTGGGCAGTGGCAGGGTGACAGTGCCGGCGGCATTAGTCTGCTGTTCAGCAGGCGCGGTTGATGATGACGATGGCGCGGCGTTGGTGTCAGCAGCGGGGAGGGATGCAACTACTATGTTTTGTAACCGCGGTGCGGACTGTGGACTGCCTCTGTATCACTATGAGCGGTGGGCTCCAGGAGGTCATCAACCCAAAAGGAACATCCAGGTAAGTACATGCTTTCACTGTCAGCAGGGTCGACGTTGTTTTCGGCGGCGACAGGGTCGCTCTCTGTGAGCAAAATAATTATTTTGCTAAATGAAACATAATTGTGGGTTGTGTGAGACTCCTACTGAGAAACACGAGAACCCAGTAGGTATATTTATACCACTATGGTAGGTGTAAGTATACATAGCTATGGAAATACCCACTAGGTAGATCCAAGCAGCATGTACTTGATTTGTGGAATTGGAAAACCGCAAGCGGACAGTCCGATTTTCAATTGTTTTGATATATTTATTAATGATTACGTACACTATGTACGTAATCATTACGGTAAAGAACCTACTTTATGTAGCTTTGTTGAATAAGCACACCATAATTAAAGTAGAAAATATATAATTAAAATTAATTAAAATATTATGACTCACCCTGTCGGTTCTGAGACGAAAGATTCTCACCATCCGATGACGAAGAATCACTATAGCGTAAATGCCGTTCTAACTTTTTCAATTTTCTAGCAAGATAGTCGTAATCATCATCACTACATTTATTTCGCTTGCGTTTTTGCATTTAATCGAATAAAATGGATACAAAAACTACTAATAACTTAAAAAATAAACTATTAAAAGAATTATTGTACGTAACAGCTCCGAGTCCCGCCACAGCAAGGGTTACCTATACTACCTTTTTTTTTCTTTTTCTCCAAAATAAAGTGTGAAACGGCGAGTCTATATGTGAAACTACATCGTGTACGAATGCTAATCGAGAACAAAGCTTGAAGAGTAATTACTTAATACTAAATTATTGTAATTTCAAAATCTCAGACAAGTCATTACAATCCTCGTACAACCCTAGCGCATTTGGTTCCGCACGACTGTACAATGCGGGCAACGTTTATTTCAACTCTCTGAGCGCGTGCTTAGGTCCCCTTTTCCTCGCAGTGAGCGCCTAGTGTTATTAGTCAGGTTAAGTAGGAAGTATTTTCGATTTTGTATGAGAGTGATATATATGTTACGTAGTAACTATTAAGTGATCTGTGGTAAAACATCTTGATATACAATAAAACCAACAATAAAATTAAGACAGAGTTCATACAACATGCATTACCTTCAAGTTTCAACATCATCAACGAATGTTTTGAGTCCAGCCATTCTCTCCACTCCCTCATCAATGGATCCATGCCAACCGGGTCATACAAAAGATACCAAGCCCTTATTTGAGGTGAGTTTTTGTTTCTGCATGTCGCGTAATACATAAGATGCTATAGGCAATAAAGTTACTATTATTCATATTATATGTACACGAGCTAATTGACGAAACAAAATATCGCATAGGAATGTGGACATATCTTTGTCTACATTAGGAACAACAAATGATTGATGTATCGAAAGAAGAAAACTTGGACCTTCATCAATATATACAACAGAATAATTTTTGTCTGTTTACACAATGGCTGGACCAACTTGGATTTCGTTTGCGATGAACGCCTTGCACGCGCTTGACGGGACGCGTGAGATAGTATTTTTATTTTCTAATATAATTTGGTGTTAGTTTACCAACTCCACCTACAAATTCCATGTAAAATTTCATATGTAAGTTTGGCAATTTGGTTCCTCATAAAAATATAGCCGTCTCTGTGAGTCACGAACGAAACTTATGAAACAAGGTTAATTTTGTAAAATACATAAAATTCACCTATTTTAATGATTTCATAATTCTTCTTTGAATCAATAGTGACTGTCTGAAATAGTACATCATAATTTATCTATGACTTGTCCATTAGTCGATATTATAGCATTGACCTACCAATAAATGGACTTTGGGTTCGCGCTAAAAAGTGTCCGCACCTATAGGGCGTTAAAATCGCATACAGAGCGTCAATTGCGCAACAGTCTTCGTTGTTCGACTGACAGCACGGTTGTCAATCATGCAGTACCACATAATAATAACTTGTAAAAATTGCTGCAGTAAAGTGTAAAAACAGAATTTGGTATCATATTTTCACTAAACAAATACACACATCAAAAAAAGTTTGCGATCACTTCGAAAAACTGAAATCTTTTTTGTTACTGTAGATTATATTATGATTTTTTCTTCTTTTTAGATTCTTTATTTAAAAATAAATTAGAACATAAAACAATGACCCCGTTCAATTGTTT